GTGTGTGTGTGTGTGTGTGTGTGTGTGTGTGTGTGTGTGTGTGTGTTACCTCACAATTTGAAATATATGAATCATTGTAAATAGGTTACAGTATAAAATACTGGAAAACATTCAGTGATAATGTTAAATTAGGAATGTTTTCTTGTTGGTTTTGTGGGCAGGTTGTCATGAGTGCACATTGCACAGATCTCTCAAGGTAATGAACAACTTTTGCGAGGTRACACAAAAGTATAGCGTGGCAAAATAGTAAAAAAATGTCCCCTCGGGGGCTTTTTAAAGTAGGACTGAGTGAAGCCATAATGACAGTGGATATTGTTTTCAGTCAATTTGAGAAAAAAACGTTTTGGTTAAGCTAATATTTATTCCAGACATGGCCATTRCAGTCTGCTGCATCTAAATATAAACTCACAATCAACTAATGAACAAAGAGGAGATTGCAATGATGGCATAAGCACTATTTATGAACAAACACTGTCTTTGTCTTGTTGTATTCACAGAGCGTTTGAGGATTATGCTCCTAGGGAAGTGTGGAGCGGGAAAGAGCTCAAGTGGGAACACAATGCTCAATAAAATGGTGTTTAAATCTGACATGAAGCTGAAGAGAGTCACAGTCCACTGTGAGAAGGAGGATGGGATGGTTGAGGACACGCCTGTTGCTGTCATTGATACGCCTGGGCTTTTTGAGAAAGACCGAAAAAAGGAAGAAATCAGCCGAGAGATTCTCAAACGTGTGAAGCTCCAGGAGCCGGGCCCTCATGTCTTTGTGTACGTGATTCCTCTAGGACGGATGACCGAGGAAGACCAAAACACTCAGGGGCTAATCAAAACCATGTTCGKCCCCAGAGTTTGGGAATACACTATTGTGCTTTTCACCCACGGGGACCGTCTGGAAGGTAAAACAATAAACAACATCATCACAGAGAGCGACGACAACCTMCGCAACTTCATACGCAAGTGCAGCGGTGGCTTCCATGTCTTCAACAACAAAAACCCAGAGGACCAGACACAAGTGGTGCGCTTCATGGAGAAGATCCAGACCCTGGTGGCCCTAAATGGAGGCGGTCACTACGAAACCCATTTTTATCCCAAACAGGAAAGACTGATCAGGGAAAGGCAGATGAGCATCCTGACAGAGAGAGATGGAGACATCAGGAGGAAGGAGGATGACCTCAAGATGCATTACAAGGGGGAGGAGCTCAAGAAGGAGATTACAACACTCTGGAGAAAAGAGGAGGAGAATGCACGAAAAGGTGCAGAGAATGAAATGAGAAACAACAAGGTGTCGAATGTCCTCCTGTTTCTGGGTTTTGTAGGTCTGTTATTTGGGCTTGTTTTACAAGTTTCCTGGAAATACCTTGTAGCATTCCTAGTKATCTGGATTGGGATGTTCTTCAAGGTATTTTCAATCTCTCTACGTAAAATATCCTGGTTGTCAATGAAAAAATGATCCAGATTGTCACACAGTTATTATCCATGTTTTGCTGTTAATTCTGATGGAACAGATGGTGTTAGCACATAATCAGAAACTACTGATTCACTACAATGAAGAGTTTGTCCATCATGTGACACAACAGTAATAATACTTATTTATGAGTTGTTTGTAGTGTTTTAAACATCCATTTGATTGTTGCACRCATTGTGCTGACTGTCAAATCTGTTTGGAACTATAATTTAACATGTATGATTTTGTCTTAATGAGTATGCTTATACAAATAAAGGTGAATGTCCCATGTTCTAAGTTGGCTTTTATCACTTACGGATATTGATCGCTTTACATGCTGATAAGTATAATAACTTTTTTTTTAAAATATAAACTGCTGTAAGGAGTTTGGCMATTCAGAACAGCTGTGACAGTGGCGGATCTAGGATTTTTCTGAGTAAGGGGCCATCAAGGGGCCACAATATTCATAGAGGTGCCAAGTCTTTGTGCAACATCCTTTCACACGAATTCCCAGTGTATATATCTTACACTTCAAACACTTGTAATGTAATTTAATTTTTTTAAAAAAGGTACCACTTTACAATAAGGCCCCCCTTATAGATGTAAAAGTTCCTGTACATTAATGAGACCCATCTGGCTCCAAGAAACTGAAGCTACCTGTCTTCAGGAAATGGCAAAACCCAATGGCTCAATGTGCCAAATATAAAGTCATACTGTAAGAAACTCAGCTGTATTTGTATTTCATCAGTATTTTACAAGTATCTCTTTTCACAACTCACAACTAACTAAAAGTGAAACCAGTAAAAATATTTTTTCTTACTAGGAGCATTGGCTTCTGCAGAGTTGTGTGGTCGTCCTTGAAATGGATCAGAAGTAAATAAATTTGGACATGTATGTATGCATAAATACAAATATATACATGCTGATATATAGGCATAGTTTAGCTAATTTTATCCTGTTACTCATTATTCTCTTCTTTTACTTTTAATGTGTTTTTGCACTATTGTGGGAGTGGCTCTAATCTCGTTATGCACATGTGTAATGACAATAAASGCATTCTATTCTAAAAATTATTAYTAAGTGTTTAWGAGGGTTTAAGAGGGTAGCGCCTCCTCGTGATGTCTTCATGAAGATGATACTTGCTCTGTGCTAGGGTCAGTGGCTGCATGACCCAGGGCACCTGTTCTCCCATGTTTGTTCTGTCTTCTTCTGAAYGGGTGTTCTGAACTGTAATTTCATTGTGYTCATATACGGTGAATAAAGGTCTCTCTAATTCCTATTATGCAATAATTAAGGATGAGAAAGAGACAAAAGTGTCCAGTTTCATTTATTTAATGATTTATGAAGTGTAAACTTTACAAATGAATGAATAACCCATCTATAAACTCTTTATAAGCCAAGGGGAGCTTGATTATAAAGTGGTACAAAACATCTTGCACAGTAAATTCTCCTCACCAGTTTTTAACACGTTTTAAAGTACATAGATAAAATATTTTCAAACACACATGTGAGAAAATCCAGCCATCATTTGTCAGTTGAAATACTTTTTTGCATGATTGTTCACATTTTAAGAAGAGAAGACTTCTGTAATCTTGATTCATTCTGGACTTTACTATTTGACTCATTAGCGCAACTAGTGTTTGAACATGGAACTGCATCCACCATCATCACCCSCAGGTRAAGGACAGATGAGTGACAGGACAACCCCTCTGGCCCCGCCCYTAGAACCGCCCCAGAGGACGGTCGTGACCAGAGGGCTCTGGTCGTGACCACAAACTTCCTCTGTTGGTCAACTCTTCTGGTGCCTTGTTTGGGCGGGAATACTTAAGGAAGTTTCTGATTCGTTTCGTCAGTTCGGACTGTTAGGTTCTGACACGCAGTTTGAATTCATTAGCAGGTAATATTTTTCAGTGAACACAAAGTTGGCCATCAAATTGACTGCACGAAGGAAAGAGGAAGTGCACAGTGAGTTTCAGTTTGCTGATATTACTTACTGAAAAGCGATAGCAGATGTCAGTTAGACATGAATAAATGTGTTATTTAGATGAGCTTAGTTCAAAAACATTCATTGGCATCAACTTTTGGCATGGCAGGCGACGTRCATTTCTGCGAGGAATGTCACGTGTGGCTAAATTACAAGCTGCCTCCAATTTATCCTCCCAAACAAGTCAGAAGTCTGGGGGTTTTTTTTAAACTCTTTATTCACATATTAGACAGTGTCAAAACAGGATTTTATCATTTGAAAAACATAGCCAGAGTCTGCCCTCTTCTGTCTTAGGCCAACACCGAGATGTTGATACAAGCTGTTATTTGAAGCTGAAGTTAGCTTCCGATTCGCGAAAGGAAGTTACCTTCAGCTTCGTCTTTTACTTCTAGTGTTT